TCCAGACACATATAAAAAAGATTATATACCATGAATATGTGGAATTTATTTCAAGAATGCAAGTTTGGTTAATATCTTTTTTTTTTAAAGATTTATTTATTTATTCAGAGAGAGAGAGAGAGAGAAAGGCAGAGACAGACAGAGAGAGAAGCAGGCTCCCATGTAGGGAGCCCGACGTGGGACTCCATCCTGGGTCTCCAGGATCACACCCCAGGCTGCAGGTGGGGCTAAACGGCTGCGCAACCCGGGTTGCCCAGTTTGGTTAATATCAATGTGTAACACCATAATAATAACAGAATAAAAGACCCAACCACATGACCATTTCAATAGGCATAAAAAAAAGCATCGACAAAAGCCAACACTCACTCATGATAAAAATCTCAACAAATCATGAATAGAAGGGACCTTCCTCAAGGGCATATGTGAAACATGTAGTTAACATGTGAAAAATGTAGTTAACATGTTTAAAGACAATGCTTTCTCCCTAAGACTGGGAAAATGATTTTGCTTTTACCACTTCTATTTAACATTGTATTGGAAGTTCTTGCCATTGCAATAAAACAAGAAAAATAAAGTTATATAGATTGGAAATGGAAAGTAAAGCTGTCATTACTTGGAAATGCCACGATACTGTATGTAAAAAATACCCTAATGAATCTATAAAAAAGCAACTTGAACTAATGAACATATTTGCAATGTAGTGGGATACATGATCAATATAACATAATAAATTGTGTGTCTATGCACTAACAATTTGGAAATGAAAACAATTCCACTCATCATAACATTAAAAGAATAAAACATTTAGAAATGAATTTAACAAGTGAAGTGCAAGACCTGAACATTGAAAATTAAAGGAGAGATAAATAAAAGGAGAGAAATGTCATGGTCATGGGTTGGAAAACTCAATAAAATGTCAGTGCTCCATAAATTCACTGACAGATTAAATTAAATCCCTATAAAAATCCCAATAGACTTTTTTGGGGCTAGAAATTGACAAGATGAACCTAAGACTGATATGTAAATGCACAGTACCAGGAAGAGCCAAAGCAACCTGGAATAAAAACAAACTGGGAAGACTTACAATACTTGACTTCAAATTTTACCATAAAGTTATAGTCAATCAAAGGATATGGCATTGGAATAAAGATAGACATATATATTAGTGAAACATTCAAGAAATAGCCCTTTTTATTTATAGCCAATTGATTTTGACAAAGATGCCTTGGCAATTCAATGAAGATAGACTATTTTCAACAAATGATGCTAGGACAATTAGTATCTACAAGTAACAACAACAAAAACAAAAGCCAAAAAAACCTTAGATACCTTACACAATATACAAAAATTAACTCAAAATGGATCATAGACCAAAATGTAAGAGCCACAACTACTACTGAGTTCTAGTTAAAAAAAAAAAAAAAAAAAAAAAGGAGAAAAATCTTTTTGACCTTAAGTAGGCAAAAATATCCAAGAGATTACACTAAAAGCTTGATATGTAAAAGAAAATTGATAAAATGAATTTATCAAAATTACAATCTTTTGCTCTTCAAAAAAAGAAAATGAAAAAACAAGCTGCAGACTGAAGAAAATGTGAGATAAAGGATTTGTATACACAATATATATATATACAGTACTCTTACAATTCAACAGGCAGGCAGATAACCTAAGTTAAAAATGGACAAAAGATTTTTTTCAAGTAAATTCTATCCCCAACATGGGGCTCAAACTCAGAACCCCAAGATCAAGAGTCACATGCTCTGCTGAGCCAGCCAGTCACCCTAAAAATGGACAAAAGGTTTCAAGAGACATTTCACCAAAGAAGATATACAAATGTTTAATAAGCACATGAAAGAATGCTATTAGCCATTAGGAAATGTAAATTAAAACCACAATGATACTTCTACACACACACCAGAATGGGTAAAATCCAAAAGACTGACAATATCAAGGATTGATAAGGATGTATAGAAACTGAAACTCTCACACATTAATGGTGGGAACGTTAAATGGCACAGCCCCACTGGTAAATAGTTTGGTGATATCCTAAAAGTTAAACATAAAACACAAATAAAAATTCTACTCTTTGGTATCTACTCAGGAAAAATAAAAATATATGCCTGTACAAAGACATGTATGCAGGTGTTTATAGTACCATTATTCATAAAAGCTTCAATTGAAAACAATCTAAATGTCCATTAACTGATGAATGAAAATCCATGCAATGAAATACTCATTCAGCATTAAAAGGAAAGTATTGATTTATTCTATTATGTGATAAGCATAAAAAAAACCACAACTGAAAACATATACTATGTGAAAGAAGCCAGACAACTCTCCTCCCACCCCCCACATATTGTATGATTCCATTTACATGGAATTTCTAGAAAAGGCAAATATGCCACCGAGAAAGACCCAGGATTTCCTTAGTGGTACTGTTGCCTGAAATGCAAAGCCTGAATTGAATCATGAGAAAAAAGTAGAAATAATTTTGACATCCTACAAATATCTGGCCTGTGATTTTTTAAAAGTGCTAAGGTCATAAAAGACAATGGTCAAGGCACTGTTCCAGAAGGAAGGAGAATGAAAAGACATGAAAATAAAATGCAGTGTTGATCCTGAAATGAATCTCAGAATAACTATAAAGAGCAATACTGGGATAATTGGTGAAACCTAAATATTGACTGTGGGTTAGGTATTAAATTTCCTGATTTTGGTAATCTGTACTGTGGTTATGTAAGAACATGTCCTCATTCTTAGGCAGTTTACACTGGACTACTTAAGCATAAAGGTACATGATGTCTGTAACTTACTCTCAAAAGGTACAGAAACATTAAAAGATACAAAAAATTAATTACTCTCAAAAGGTATATAAAAAATTGAGGTACTCTCAAAAGTGAAACAGATGAAACTGGTTGAAAATATTTTTCACAGTCATTAGTGATGTTCAATTGAATTTATGTATCTCTTGGCTATGGGGCTTCCTGACTTCAAAATTTACCAAATATCTGACTGTTAAATTAATGAAATTCCGTGCACAAAGGCAAGAAGAGATATAGAGTTGGACCCATTGGTAAACACAGAAAGATACCTGAGTGGGTAAGATACTTGAGTGGATCATTAAATTCTTTGAAAGTTTCCTATTTTATTTCCTTAGTCTGAAGGAAATGATGCACATAGAAACAGAAAACCCTGGGAGGCAGATTATTTTCCATGACCGTATCACAAAGCAGGTCCTAAGGGCTCAAGCAAGCCTATGGAATACACTGGGGGAAGAAAATCAAGAAAGAGAGAGTAATGGGGTGAAAACATAATTATTAATTTCCTGATCTTAAACTTACAAGAAACTGGTGTAAACAGCGGTGTTAGGAACAAGGGAAGCAAAGGGAGACATTTTCAAGACCAGGCCAGCCCAGTTAAATTCTGCAGGCTTAAAGCCACAACGTGCGATGTTATTTATTACTGTTTCCAATGCAACCAAACCTGCACTATTCATGTTTAATAGAACCGATCCGGAACAATGGGCTGCGAAAGGATTCTGCATCTGTCTTAGGAACCTCATATTGCATCACAGAACTTCAAAAGTACACACACACCTGTTAACAGACTTGTTTTTTTTTTTTTTTAAGATTTTATTTATTCAGAGAGAGAGAGAGAGAGAGAGAGAGGCAGAGACACAGGCAGAGAGAGAAGCAGGCTCCATGCTGGGAGCCCGATGCAGGACTCGATCCCGGGTCTCCAGGATCACGTCCTGGGCCGAAGGCACCCGGGCTGCCCAACAAACTCGTCCTGGCGACAGTACAACCCTATTAATTAAAAGCATCCCAGGAAACCAGAAGACCATGTAACTTATATAAGCCAGGAAACTGGTTTTGTTTAAACCACCACCACCACCACCACATTTCCTATGTACGCGTACCTGGAAGCGTGGCCGAGTCCGCTTGACCTCCAGGCCTCTAAAGGGGTCTCGACCCCCCAGAGGCAGCGCAGCCCGGCGGCCACCCGGGGCCGGCCTCCCGAAGCGCAGGTGCGCGCCCGCGGCCCCTCCCGCCCTCCCGCAGGCCCCAGGGAGCTGCGGCGGGGGTGGGGGCCCTCAGGAACGCTCCCTCTCCGGGAGCGTGCACGCGGACCCCGCTGCGCTCTCCCCCAGGCCCGGGGCCCGCCGGCAACCGACTTACGGCGCGGACCCGGGGCGCGCCCCACGCAGCCTCGCGCAGCCCCGGCCGCCCCGACCCTGGGCGTCGCTGCGCGCAGGCCGCCCCCCGCACAGCCGCTGCCGAGCGCTCGGCCGCGGCGTCTCCCGGGCAACCGGACGCTCAGCGCGCGCCGGCCGGGCGGCTTCCGGAGCCTGCGGTGCCCCCGCGCCCGCCGCCGGGGGCGCCCGGCCGCCTGCCTCCCCTCGCGGCGGGGAAGGGAGGGGCTGGGGCCGTGGGTGGGGGCGCGAGCAACCCCTGGGCGGAGCCACGGTCGCGGTGCAGACGCCGCCGAGCTTCTGCTCCGCGAGCCCGACGGCGCCTCAAGAAGGCGCTCAGGAAAGTCTCAGGCGGCTGCCGGGCGGGCGCCGCGACTGCAGGAGGCGCCCCTTTCCAAGTCCCCCAGCGCACTTGAAGTGAAGCACAAGTGGATGTTGCAAACAGGCGGTCTCCCTGCCCGGGCGGGGACCCTCAGTCCGTCAAATCCTCCGTCAGGAGTACTTTCCAGTCTTGCCTGGTTGTGCGCGCGGCTCTTCAGCACAGGTCTGCGGCTGCTCGGTGGCCGGCAGCCCCGGGCACCAGCGCCCAGCGCCGCGGGGGCGCGTACCGCGTACCGTCTGGCGCGGTTCTCCACGGGGCGCACTGGCCGCCCGGCGGGGGAAGCCGTCGAGCGAGGGTGTGATGACTGCTCTCCTGAAGTGAACGTACTCTCGCCGGACAAGGTCGTTTTTGCCGAAGCTTACCCTTCTTGTTCCCAAGTACGGACTTAAAAAAAAAAATACCGTATGTCACGGAGCACGTACATACTTTGTTTAGCATCAACGAAGCGGTCCTCCCTGTGCCGGACGGATTTAGGGTGGCCGTACTTCCTCCCCCTTCCTCCTTCGGTGACTGACTGCACCCCTTCCCTCATCTTCGATTTTCCATCTGCTTTCATCTGCTTAGAAAATAATACCAGAAACCGCCTTTATCTCCTTCCTCCTTCAAGACCAAGCATGTTCCCAATAAACTCAAATCTACATGAGCTCACATCTATTCATTTCTGTACCACTTCTGCCCCCCTCCTGCTACAGAAAACGTTCTCAGTAAGGATTCAAGTAGATCACCTCAACACAAACCCAGCAGCCTGGCTTCCTGGGCCCGGTGTCTGATCGCTGGGGTTCCCAAACTGTGGACTGCGGAGCTCCTAGCTCCCTTCCTCATTAGGAAGCTCTCCACAATCAGGCCCAACCTTGGCTTTTTAGCTTCCTGCCCCGTTGCTATGCTCCAGGCACTCCAAACTGAGCTCAGCTGCATTTACCACTCTTCCGGGAACGTGCCTTCGAGGTCCTGGAACTTTGGTCTAGCCTACAGCTCGCTGACCTTTTGTCCTGCACTTGATAAACCCTCATCAATTAACAGCCTGGTTTATATATAACTTTCCACGTAAAGGCTTTTTCCCAAAGCGTAATTAGGTGCAGCCCTTTGTACCTTTCTTTACATTTATTTATTTATTTTTTTCATCCAAGTGGGCTCCTTGAATACTGGAAATGCTGCTTTTTCTTTTTTTCCAGTGCCAGTGAGGTGCCTGGATACACTGTAAGTGATAGATAAGTTAGTGAGTATTCACAAAGTAAAAAGTCTTTGCAATGAGTTTTGACTAGACTTAATAACCTTTAACTGTAAAGTTATTTTATGCAAATCCTCTTATTCTAATACAAAAACACTGAATAAAGAAAATGCTTTTTGGTAAAGCAAAAAATGGAAGACAGGAAGAGAATTTCTCTTGTTGCAAGAGACGGTGGAAATCAGAATTTGAAATCTAACTCCTGGAGAAAAATGCTTAATGTGTTTTAGAGGGCAGTGAATGAATATACTGCTTGTATTTTGTGTAATACATACTTCAGTAGTTAAGAGTATATACACTTTGAACCAAAGTGGCCTGGGTTCAAATCCTGGCTCCACCACTTCTCAGCTATATTATCTTAGCAAGTTATTTAAGCTTCCTGTGCCTTAGTTTCTTCATTTGTAAAATGGCATTAACAATAGCTACCCACTTGGGCTGTTCTGGGGCTTCAGTGGGACAATATATGTAAAGCATGTAGAATCACACCTGACAGAGATACATGCACTTGACTCTTAAAATATTCCCTCAAATAATACTTTTAGTGCTTACCCATGATTTTGTATAGCATGCATTTTCATATTTCTTCTAGTAATGGTGAAAACTGCTGTCTGTCCTGTTTCCTGATCTCTCCTGTAATCAGTGGCACACTTGCCAGCTGAATGACTGCAACAGGCCCAGAAACAACTGATCTCATTCTTCTCAACACTAGTGTCTAAAAAACTAGCTAATAAAATAGGTAGCTTAAACTTCAATGAAGCGGAGATACATTGCTCCAACATTTCAGTGTGTCTCTTTTCCTTCTGAATGAATACAGATCTTTAATCAAAAAATACTAGGTGAAGCCACAAAATTTACACTTTTAAGAGTCATCAAAGATTATTCTGAGGCATGTGATCCTTGGACCACCGTCAGAAAAATGATTTAAATTCAGATCAGCCAATGTTTCCCACATAGGGACTACACATCAGAATAATCTGTACGACTTTATACAAATAACAGGTTACTTGGGCTTGGCCCCCAAAGTGTGATTCCAGGGGTCTATGTTGTTTAAAAGCCCATGAATAACACACAAACAGCTGTATATTTTCTGGAAATAATTCTAAGTGTTTGACAGTTAAATATGATTGTTAAATTTTCTGAGATGCGACCCTATATATATAACTTACAGGACTTGGAAACTAGAAAAAACAGTGGTCCAGAAAAAGGATCAACAACTTGGTCAATAAATGCCAAGAACAAAATCTTAATTTCTTGAAAGTCTATTCCATGAGTCTTTCTTTTTCAAAAAGTCAATGTTATTCTGGCAAAGATGTGTTTTTGAGTCATTATTCAGTCATTAATGCTAAGATCAGTGACAATGTATTTATTTGGGAAAAGTGACACATATATACAACTGCTATGATTATTAACACCTATATGATTTAGAAGTCATGTTTTAGATAAGAAAACTGTTCTAGAGTCAAGTAAATTACCTAACATCACACAGAAGGGTGGTGACACTACCAAGAGTAGAAATGGTGCCTCATGATCCACCATCCAGTTCTTCCAATCTAATTGTCCCCTTCTTTAACTTCCAAAACTGCATTCCCAACACGCTCCCCCCTTCCTTTCTGTAACCCAGGAGTTGGCACACTTTTTTAATTTTTATTTTTTATTTATGATAGTCCCAGAGAGAGAGAGAGAGAGAGAGGGAGAGAGAGAGAGAGAGGCAGAGACATAGGCGGAGGGAGAAGCAGGGAGCACTGGGAGCTGGGAGCACTGGGAGCCTGACGTGGGATTCGATCCCGGGTCTCCAGGATCGCGCCCTGGGCCAAAGGCAGGCGCCAAACCGCTGCGCCACCCAGGGATCCCCACACTTTTTCTATAAAAGGGTCAGACGGTAAATGTTTAAGGCTCTGTAAGCCATACAGCTTTCTTGCAACCATTCACCTCTGTCACTGTAGCACAAACACAGCCATAAACAACACATAAATGAGTATGTGGTGCAGTGTTCCAATAAAACTTTATTTACAAAAACAGGTGGTAAGCAGGATTGGGCTGAGGTATGTTTGCCGACACCTGCTCTCCATAAGACTATGAATGTTCAATTGATTTTTCTGATCGGAAAGTTGAAAATTCTATAAAAGATGCCCCGTTATGAAACTGAGATGACACTTCAAATAAAAATATGATCTAAGGGACATGAAGTATTTAAGGGGGTATTTAAAGAGTCAACGCAGAATGATGAAAAACTGTTTTTCTCCTTAATATATTTTAGTCTTACTCCATATAAGCCAGATGACAAGCTACTATACAACCGCATGTTAAAAAACATGTTTATTTTACACTATGTACAATCAGGAACATATTTAAAAGCATTATCAATTAAAATAAATGAAGACCATAAATCACAATTTAGTTTGTTCCTAGTGTATATATCCACATTAAAATATAAAGAACATATACCAAAAAAGAGCCAAAGTGTGCATTTTGCTAAAACTTGGTATATACCTATTCCATTGGAAAAAAGCAATCAAAAAGGACTTTAAACCAAAACTAAGTTCCTGTGATGTGTAGTAACCATTATATCGTTTATATGAGGTAGTAACTAAATTATTTTGGCCATGTGTGAATACTCTAAGTCAAAAGAAATATGAAAATCATAAAATAAGGCCAACCAAAGCAAAAATTTCACTAGAAATTTGAACCACTCCACTCTATGGAATGTTATAGTTCTTCAATATGATTATATGAAATGTTTAGTGTGGACTCTTTAATAATGCTAATTTATCCTTTGTGCATACTGTGCATACTGTAATTCAGACAACAACTGCAGTGTTATATCACGGTACCACTATTCTGTGATTCAAAATTTTTTCAAAGGTATGTTTTTAAGCACAGACAATCTTACAGGATTCTGCTTAAATATAAAAAGACCAGTTACTACAACAGGTGGTTAATTGGTTTGTTTCACATAGAAAACAATCCAAATACATTTAAAAAAAGATATTGTGGAGCCAAATGTGTATTGACAATGTCACAGCTTACTTTTGTGACTTAATACATCACATATATTCTGTGCAAATATAAACACCAGTGTACTTGCATTAAAATTAAAAACAAGATTATAAAATGATTATAGCCTCCATTACAATTTTGAAAGTTACAAGATTTATATTTGTATTACTAAATTACATATAATAAAAATACAATAGTGTTAAATGTACTGTTTGCCAGCATCCCATTTTGTAATATAGCCACACCCAATAATATACTAAGAATTCTTAAAATATTAACCCCAGTTGCATTTTTCATCAACATTTACATTTGTACAGATAAGACGCTTACTTGTACATCTCATAAAAGTACATTATCTACATAAATTCTTAGTGTATGTCTTCAGCAATATGAAGTTTCACAGAAAAATACTGCCCATATGTACAAAGATTACATAACAATGAATTAAGCACTTGTGTGGTTCAATATGCTAAATATATCCATACCACTTAAAACAAAAAGGCTCCCCATCTTGTCTCATGCCACAATAAATTACATGTAACTGAAGCCAGGTCACTGCAGCTTTTGTACAGCTTCAAGCATTCATCAATGTTGCGGCAGTAGTGTTTGTTCTTTCTAGAATTAACTGTCCAAAGCACAGACTTCCTCAGTAACTGTTTTCATGGCCCGCCAGGATGTATAAGTTGCTATTTGCCGTGGGGTTATCAGTTGGCCTACTTTCCAAAACCACGACCCTAAAATAATAATAATTAATAATAATCAGACCAAAAGTTATTCTTGAAAACTAACGTTAGCAGAAACATTTTCCATTGCTTCTTCATTTTATGCCTCTATAAATGCTGTTTATTTGATTTGTGGACAGAAAATGATTTGCAAATCCCTATGATTACAGAACCAGTTCCAACCCCAGGAAGTAATATTGCTGCCCACCATCTCCCACCTCTAAGCTGGTGTTGTTCTAAGGGTCAGAGGTGGAGAAAACCTGTATTTGGAATAATTTGGGGAACTTAATTTTTACAAAGTATAAAATCATCTGTCGTTCAAGAATCAGAAAGTATATCAGAATAGAACCCAAAAATTCTATGTGGCACTAAAACCAAGAAGTTTTATTTGTTAGCATATGGTAATTTCCTCTTTCTCGCTCTGTAAATCATACTTTAGATAGCACATTTAATGCAAAATTAGTACTGACAGATTGATATATTCCTGTTACTTGGAAGATCAGGCACATTTTATAACTTTCTGACTTGTGAATTCTTCAGTGTGAAAAATACAATGTTGAATATATTACTGTAGAAATTTCAATTCCCTTGAAAAAGAAATCAGTTTCATGCTGGATTTATAAAATGCATTTAGTACAATGTATTTAACACAACCCATTCTCCATACCTGTCAGATCCAAGCAGTCTGAAAATTCTTGTGTTATCTGAAATTTCTTGTGTTACCTGTTCAATTAAAATATAAACTTAATTTCTGGAATTAAAGGCACAAAATTTTATATGGGCATTTAATTTATAGCTCTACTGAAAAGAAATATAATTCCTAAGATGAAAATAGAACCCTGCATGATTGTTAACTTAAATCAGTACCTAAATACATCAGAGTTTGTTAGTCTATGAAAAATGTGCTTAATTTTCAATTAATCATAAAATAGGAGAGTAGGAAAACCATTTACTTATTAATTATAGACCCTGGAAA